GCCAGCCCGCTCAGAGATGTGTATAAGAGACAGGTTTTCTAAAGTACCGATTTGGAAAATAGAGATTTCAAGCTGTAAAATGCTTTTCTGAACATCTCGATATGATCATTTTTGACGAAGTTACACTCTTGAATTTTGGCTATTTTTGGAGAGTAGAGTAAGTGATGCTTTAATTTTGTTGAGACGTGTATATTTATTTTTTGAGGTAACAGGACCCCTATTAAGCTTTTCGAATTTTTCTAACTTTTTACTGACAATGAGTTTAAAGTAAAAAATTAGCAATCACATTCTAGCTAAAGGAGGAACATTTCTTAATAGAATTTTTAACTTTAAAAAATATCACAAAAGTTGGATCGATCTAAATGTAAGTTTAAATAAGCTGTTAGATAAAAAGGCGAACTTACGATATTGGAACACTATCAAATACACAATCATCTAACAACGTACTACGCAGATACAGGAGGCCTATATTATGCGTGCACGAGGTGTTCGTAACACCGGTTATTTTGTCTGAAACAAAAATGTTTGCTTTATGCACAATTTCGTTTTCTTAACTTATTGCTGTTGCAACGTTTTCCCTGAATAATTGATTTTTAAGTGAAAATATAAATATAGTAATTACCACCACATGCTGGCTGGTTTATTCCATTATTGGGCCACAAATCGAGGTGACCTAGAGATTTTTGTATACCAAGAATTGACACGTGAATAACTATTGTACGTTCGGCGTCAGACTTGCAAAATCTGTTCTCACAACTTTTTAACGCGAATAGGATGGGAGCTGCGGGATCGCTACCAAAAAGAAGTGGAAATATGCCGTAACGCAATTTCTGAAAGCTCTTTCCGGCGAAGCCAGCTATATGCGCGCCCAGACTGTGACCCATAAATATCATGTTCTTCAACGAAACATGACATATGTCGATTACCTCTTTGATGTACCTGAAAAAAAATTTTAAATAAGTATGTTTGAATCAAAGACATTGTATCTTTTTCAAATTATAATGTTGTCGCTCGATTTTCATTTCATTCACTTTTTACAAGTTTTGCTTAACACAACATAATGTGTAAAATTTCAATAAACGGAATTTTAATAAATATTTATTATGCATTGTATGTTACACCGATTATCGGTATTAATTGTTACAATATTATCTGGAACGTTATTTAAATCAGAATTGAAATTATTTCAAAATTTAAATTTATACTTATTATACATAATATTTCCTTATTTAATTCATCGCAACGTAACACCTTGAAATTAATAGTTTTACCTTGTCAAGTAATCACTAATTTTGTGAGCATTGCGTATTGCGAAAAGATAATAAATAGGTTCCAATAAACTTTTGCTGCCTGGATCATTATAACACGATGCATCAGCCCAATCTAGTGAGAATACTGTATAACCTCTCTATGGAAAAAAGTTGTTTTAATCAATTTTTTATTAAAGATCTTATAATATCTTTATATTACTTATGGTTAAGTTTGCGAAAAGAAAATATTGAGTTCTAATTTCATTTCTGCGTACAAAAAAAATATTTACCTTTATTAACACAGAAGCAAGTTCAGAAAAGTGATGACTGGATGAATTTGCAATAAAACCATGAACCATGAAAAAAACTGGTTTGGAGCGATCAAAAAGTTCACAGGATTCATTTATTTTGACAAATTTACCATCAGGAAACTCACTGTAAAAAATGCGAGCATAAGCAGTGCGAAAAATAAATTAATTGTATGTACTCATGTAAACGTTTTTACCTTGTATACAAAGCTATCGCAACCGATTTAACGCCGAAGACACAGGAACTTGATGAACCAACTGTAAAGTGTCCATTTTTGATATTACATAACTGTATGTCAAATTATTTTTATATTGTCCAAAATTAAAATGAATAAAATAGGAATTTTTAAACTCCGAGAAATTGTGAATTTTCTTTGTCTTTAAAAAGCAGAAAAATGTTACTTAATGTTAAAAACTTGAGTCAATAAATTCGCGACATTGGTCATTTATTTTTAATTGTTTCAAAATTTTAAAGATCTTCAAAAATTCACTTAGAACATTAAAAACAGTTGCGAGCTCTCGTTTAAAAATGTATCTAAATAATTTAAAGCTTCTGAAACATTATTTCACAAAGATCATTTTAGTAATCTTAACATTTGTGTTATCAAAATTAAAAGAGTGATTTTTATACAATTTGTCGCAAAGTTAGTTACCCAGCTTTCCAAAGCTTTATTTTTTTCACAAATTTACTTTAAACAAAACTCTTTCTGAAACTAACTAAAAACTCAAGGTTTTTAAGAAAAAAGTATTTCTAAGCATTTTTCTTTAATCTTTGAAGAAACGGTATTAACTTTATAGAGAAGTATAATATTTTTTCAATAGAAGCTTGGTTGATGATAAAAGAATATTCTTAGAGGATTGATTTTTAAAAGTATACTAACTAATATATTT